AAGGCGGGGCAAGGTGGGGGATTGAAGGCGATACTTGTAAAATGCCATAAGCTTGATTTTGTTTGTGTACTTGTGCATCAACTCCCCGAAAAATATTTTTTCTTCTATCAAACAAACTGTTAGCCTTAAGGTACTCCCTAAATTAGTTTTGCTGTTTATCTTGTTGACTCCATTTTGTTATGATTTCCAAAATACTAGTTCCTCAAAAAACTTGGTGATTGCAAATGGAACAGGGGTTCCAGAAATGAAAAAAATATAGTTTTTTGAAAATTAATATTGTAGTTCTTGACTCAGTCCAGTTTTCACGAAATGTCTACTTTTCACGAATGGCTTGTTAGTGCGGCAGTACAGTTTCATGAACTTTCATCCATCCCATTCTCCTTTGGGGCCTCTTGCCCTATTTTGCAAGAGAGAGTGTTGCACTGCATGGACTGGGCCGCGAAGAGGTGTGCACACACTGCTCACTCACCATCTTCATCATCCGTACTGCCTCCTTAACTGCTTCGTCAAACAAACGATCGCCACCTAGATCCGAAGTGCTCAGAACGCGCTGCCTCATCCTTGATGAGATGTTAATCTCCTCCGGTGCTCCTGAAGGACACACCAAATGCAAAATGTCATATACTTAGTTTCTTTTTCTTTGCCTAATTGGTATCACAACACTTGCACTTAAATGCATATCTAGGATTCGAATCCGAGGCAACATATCCTGGTGGGTGGAGAGTGGACATTAAAGCCCAACCTCAATCCAACAGCAACTTCTTCCCAAAAAAAACCAAAAAAACAAACATCAACTCTCCCATTCATGCTCGATCTGCATTCAGCCAGACCTTGACGAGTACACCTTGTTCAATGCACTACAAAGAGATTGCACTCAGAGGGGGGGGGGGGGGGGAAAGAAAAAGAACTGTAATGACCCGCCATAACACAGACCGAGAACACTGCTGATTTCTGGAGTTCTGCCAATGGAATGGATGCCTATCATGACTTGCTGAGATTCCCGCATTCTGCTGAGTTTTCTAAGTCCGTGTGTGTGCGTGCTTGATGACCTGCATGCCTGTCCGAGTGCTTGTCGGTATGAGTGTGTGTGTGACCCGCAAGGGTACTTGCTTGTTTGGCAGGCCCGTAGGGCCGGTACTTAGCTGTGGCCGTGGCATTGAGGATTGCAGCAGGGAAAACACTCAAGTAGTGGAGCCAGGGGCCCGCGGTGCTTAGAGCAGCGGAAAAACACTCAAGTAGCAGGTAGGCCGGTACCACACCCAGTAGCAGTAGATGTGCCGGGTACTCGAGGCCGAGCAGAGGAAGACAAAGTTGGCATTTTTTTAGAGGCCCAGTAGCGGTAGGCTAGGTCTAGGCCGGTACCAGTCCATCCAGTCTGAGTCTAGAGCTTGTACGGGCAATATCAGAGTCTGCAATGATGTTT